GTTCCAGCAAATTCTTTACATTGTGAACATCAAAAAATATTTTTTTCTCATACACCCGAAAACCATTCAACCTGTAAATTTCTCAGTAGTTGTACATAACATAGTTACTTTGATATATGTAACTATTTTTCATCACTAAAGGAGGCCTTTAATGTTGGCTAGAAGACATCATTGCTAATTTGCTCTAGAAGTAATCCTGTTTTGAGTTTCATTCGATGGCCTGTAACAAGACTTTGTTTTCATAACAGGTGTTCATATCAAGCGAATGCAGAAGTCTTGGGTGAGTCACCATACGCTTTTGCATTCGTTTTTTAGCTGACCTTGACATCGTCAAGCTGAGCTATTGCCATGGGTTGTCGTCCGTCTGTCCGTCAACATTTGGCTACGGTCAACGATAACTCAGGAACCGTTTGACCCACATGTTTGAAATTGGGTATATTTGTTACTGCTATGCTCCCATATTGAACGTTCTATTTTGGAGAACGCCAGTTGACGTACTTTTGAGCCACTGCAATTTTTTGGCAAAAATTGGAATTGCCATTAGTCAGTTCAGGTTCAACGGATTTTGCTCATTTTTGGTATGTGAATGAATAAGGGCTAGGGGTTTTGATATTTAAAAAAAAATTATGCAAATTAGGCCGGTTTTGGCAATTATATAGCATATTATATAGACACGTAGATAACAAACAGTATGTGGTGTCACACTCGTCTGGTTCGTTCTATCAAGATTTCATTGACAATATCTTTAATGCAAAATTGGTATTTCCTCTCAACCCTGCCGATAAAACGTCTATATTAGAGTAAAGTTTAACAAAACGTGTCGGAACGCAGCATGACCTATTTATTTCGAACGCCATCGCTAAGAAACATCAAAGCGAGTATAGCGCCATCTACCGTCACAAATTGTGATTCATTTTGGTTTATAAATTATTGTGATATACAGATGGCAACCGTGTGCTACCGCCTATAAAAACTCATACGAAGTAAACACTTCCATGCAACCAATTAACCTTTGACAAAAGTTGTGTTATGGGCAGGGAAACACCATTGTCATGTGGTATATAGCAGCTACGTGGAATAAGCTTATCTTCTCAATCTTACACGTTACACATCGGGAGCTCCGCTTTTAGGCAGTGCCTAAATATGAATATTATAAAAACGTTAAATGGCGATCATTTAGGTGTAACGCCATCACTCGCCCACATCTCAGACTTTCACATCTCAAACATTTATTTTTACATAAAAAATTACACATAATTATCAAGAGTATATAATGGGAGTTCTCCCATATATACTCTTCGTTTCTATAATACTGACTTCTTCTCACTCACTCATTTGTGTCCTTTTTTGTGGTGAGCTATAGTGTCATTGACACTTTCATTTACGATACACTCACCCCTGCTTATTGTGCACATTTATTGTTTCTGTACCATTGTCTTTTCTGCGTGTTTTTGCAATAAAATTTGCGCTGCGATTGTGTCTTCGCGATGTGATCGTAATAACCATTGCCATGTTGCAGATGCCGGCGTTGTCAACCCGGCGTGTCCGTCGTGCGGCGACTCCCTGCGCAGTACGCCTGGCATCGAGGTATGTAGGAGGAAGAACGTTCGCTTGTCGTCGTCTGCTGTCGTTCGTCGGCCGATGCAAGATTTTTTCCGGATATCGCGAGTTTTCGCGTGAAATATTTTCGTGCCACACGTGTCTTGGGTTTCAAGTCGTGGGTTCTACACGATAGGAGCACAGCTCTACTTTGTCCAACATTTTGTGTTTGTGCATATCAGCGTGCAACACATGCATATGCGGTTGGGGGCTTTAAACATGCACTGCTCTATTTCTGGGAAACATTTTGTGTTCGTGCATATTAGCGTGCAACGCATGCATGTATGGTTGTGAGCTTTAAAAAAGCACTGCTCTACTTCCATGCAACATTTAGTGTTCGTGAAGATTAGCGTGAAAGAGGTGTATGTTTTGCAGTGGTTGTGAACTTTACAGGTGGGGCACACCTTTCTGCTGGGAACGAAGTATTCAAGTACTTTCGGTGCGAGCTATCTCAACAGACACGGCAAACCCAAGTAAGCTGCTGTCACGTTCATGCACTAGATATGTCGGGACATCGTATATTACTTTTTGTTGATAGTTTTCGAACATAGGTGTTTAATAACTGCGTTTAATTATTTTAAATTGTATATATTTTAATGTATATATACGCACATATGTTTGGAATAAAAGGCAAGATTTAATTAATTGATGTAGGTTTATTCCAAAGAACTAAATTTGTGTTAAAAAACAAATATTAACAAAATATATATATGTGTGCGTGCGTGTGTGCATCGTTGGTGGATGCATGTGTGCTATTACTGTCAGGACTGTCATCATAACAATCTTATAGGCCAAATTTATTTTGGAATGGAAGTGACATCCGTACATTGTTGATAACTGAAACTGGACTAGTTGAATGACTGCATGAACAGTCTCTGTACTCGTCCTTGTTTCTCACCATCGCGCGCGACTCCCAGCTTGCTTCAGATGGGATGCTTCGGACTGGGAGTGAGCCGGATCCTCGCAGCAGCCGTCGAGGTGTTGTCAACAAACAGCGAGCTAAGATGGCCGACTTCCATCGCCCCCTACCAAGTGTGCGTCATTCCACCGAAGGTACAGCTGTGAACGTGGATATTCTAAATACTAATCTAAAATGCACTGTTATGTTAACGCACGCCGCTATTGGCTGGTGGGCCTTCTCGACGTCCCGTCTAGTGTATTATAGGATAGTGCATTATGGGATATCTGTGGCCATGACTTGGGGCTTTGTGCGATTTTGTGATGTGAAGATGCTACAGTTGTCTCAGAGATTGATAAGAATTTTCTCTATACATTACGTTAGAATTAGTTTAATGATCAAAGTGAATGAGGAATAAACATGTAAAAAAAACTATAGAGAAATGAAATGATGAACTTGATGATGGCTAACTGACCGAGATTTGTTTTTATCCTTTAGGTTTTGGAATAAATGAGGGTATATCAAAGAATTGCACCGAACATGACCGATTGAATAGACATAGCAAATCCTAGCTGATTTTTAAGGGTCATGCTGTCAACCTTTTGGCCATGATGATTTCTTTCAGTATGAGAAACCAAGTTGATTATGATGCATGTGTCACTTCTCGCTACAGGCAGGCAGTAAGGAGGCTCATGCATCCCTCATGGCTCAGCATCTATATCAGCAACTCTCATCCTTACCACATTTAAATGGAGACGTGCTATTGGATGACAGAGGTCACCTGACCATCGGCAGACGTCTCCAGGAAGCCACTCGACTAGGTTTTCCCCATGTGGTCATCTGTGGCAAGAAGGTAAGATCAGTTTGTGATGGTGACGTTGCGTACGTTGCAGGGCAATGCATTCGCTCATTCCTAGAGTTGTCGTAACAGTAAATCGAACGCAAATAACCGAATTTTTTTACAGCTTTTTGGCTATTGTTCTGATCGACATCACATCACATTAGCGAATCGCGTATCGCTATCCTGTTTGAAGATTTTATCATCGTGATTCTAACTTTTGCTCTAGATTCATGTGTTGTTTTGACGTCGAACGTTGCTAGTTTTTGTGTTTTTTATTTTTGCAGTCATTGGAGGCTATTCCATTGATAGAGGTGCATCGGACATATTACGATGAACCACCAAAATTCATGACCCACAGAGAATTATTCGACTACATGGAAGCTAGCTAGCGGCTACCATTGAACACTGCGAATAGATTAGAACATCAGACGACAAATCTAGATAGAATTAGGATGCTCTCTATGAGTAAATTACGTATACGTAGTCATTGATGGTACCTGGTACATTGCATTGTATTGTATGCATATTGTCAAGAGCATATAAAGAAGGAGAGCGTACAACGGTAAAATGCTGAAATCATGTTGCAGTATTAGTCGAATTAATAAACTTTCCCCCTGTTATTTTGACGATTCTTTGCAGTATTATTGATCAGCTGTCCTACCTTGTTCATATAAATCAAACCGCATGTCCCTACGATGCCCATACGCTGAGATAATGAGCGATGAAAATCTGGTATTTTTGCTGAACACCGACTAGACATTAGTCAGTACTGCGACCCAATTTCGAAGTGTGGCCAGTGTGTTGCTTCCGGTCGCCGCTGTGTAGCGCCATAGTAGCGCTGATTCACGTCATACTACCAGAGTTTACTATACATCCAGCGTGAGGTGGGCGTGAGGTGGGCACAGGTGGGGGTCATCACTATGGCAATCAATAACAGACGTCATTCATTCCATTTGTCAATCATTGACGGAAACACGCGAGGTTTACCGAAGTTATAACACTTCGAGAGACAGTCACAGTAACTGACTGATCTCGAGTCAGTTTTCGGCGAAAATACCAGATTTTTTTTATTAATTTTATTAAGTTTAAAGGGGAAAGTTTATTAATTCGAAGGTTTATTAATTCGACTAATACTGCAACATGGTTTCAGCATTTTACCGTTGTACGCTCTCCTTCTTTATATGCTCTTGATATTGTATTATGCATTATGTATAGAAATAAACGATATTCAATGAATACCATACTTTTGCGTAAATTGTTGTTTCTTTTTTTGGTATGTTGGAGTGTGATGACTCTGTATGAACTATATACACGTCACGGCCCCAATTCTTAGTACAGGGTCCCCACAGCCATTGAAAGGCCTTGAATTTTGTACTTTGTCCTTGAAAGTAGTCAGCATTTAAGATCCCTTCCCATGCCACCCATGACTAAAAAGAGGAAAAACAAACTAGTTTGAGCAAATACTGTTCTGTGAACTTTGGATTAAATTTAATATTTATATATTAATGCCTGCTGTTGGGGGCACTATGAGAGCATAGTGCCCCCAACAACAGGCATTAATGTTTTTAGTGCATCACATGACTATGCAATCTACTTTTCATGCTTATATACCTTCTTTATACTCCCTAATTTGCCGGTGCATTCGATGTAACAAAACGTTCGACACAAACACAACCGCCGTTCGAAACTCTTGCGTGGCGCCCAGATGCAGGAGATTCGTGACGTGAACACAGTGCGTTATAATAACAATGCGTCGCGCAAGCAATAGTGCCCGCTCAGGTGGGCACTATTGCTTCATAGTGCCTGCTGCGTTATCCAATGGAATTTCAACGATTTATCACGTGATGCACTAATATTTGTTATTTGTTATTATTTGTAAAGATTTGGGACAATGAGAATATGGCCCTTAATGGTTTCTTCCAAGGGTTGGAGGCTGAAGAAGATCTTTAATTTCACCAGCTCAACAAGTGCTATTAGCAAGAAATTTATAGAGAAAGGATTGCTCTATCTAAAGAATTAGGGTCTAAAACAACTTTTTTCATATATGAATCTAAGGTATATATGATATGACTCTAAAATGCTAAAACTACTTGTCACAGATTGTGCTTGAAAAAAACATGTCATTGAAATGTTAATTGAATGAACTCATGATAACAGAGCCAGAGCCAGAGTGAAAGCGTCATCTGTCGTGGAGTTTGAAATAAAAGTGATCACTTATTCCTAACCCCTCTCGTGGATGGTATCGCCCATGACCAGTCAAGCATGAAAAAACTTTGGCAGGTAAATGGCCGTATTTCAGCCGAAACTTTTTCACTCCTCGAGGCACAAAATATGATTATACGGCTATAATACGAGTTTTTACAGTTGCACAAACACACATACACGCACATTAACGGACGCGCACACGCGGGTATGGTCGCCCGCACGCGTGCGCGTGTATTATAGGCGTAAATTCACATTTTGTGCCTCGAGGAGTGAAAAAGCTTCGGCTGAAATACGGCCATTTACCTGCAAAAGTTTTTCATGCTTGACTGGTCATGGGCGATACCATCCACGAGAGGGGTTAGGAATAAGTGATCACTTTTATTTCAAACTCTACGACAGATGGCGCTCTCGCTCTGGCTCCGGATCATGAGTTGTGCGAAGGGGGCGCTGCATGCAGTTTGCTTTTTTATTTACTATCACAGTGTCAGTAGTGAGTACTGAATGCCATGGTCAGCATAAAGAACCGGCAATTGTTTATTATTATTATTAAATCGTTATTGCATGTAATTCAACTACAAATACATGTACGGTACTGAAGTCTTTTTCATGGAGAAAAAATATGATAAATGATGTTGTTGAGCATAATATATTAATGACTCTAAAAAGCTAAAATTACTTGTCACAGATTCAGAGATTGTCCTTGAAACATGTCATTGAAATGTCCTTGAATTTGAAAGGTCCTTGAAAAAATAATTCACACTCCTGGGAACCATGTAGTATGTTGCTACGTTATTCAGTATTTGCTAGATCAATTATTACGACTTATTACTCCAAGGTTAGATGAACCACTTTGGGGCGAGGACTGAATTATTATTAAAGCATGAAGTGAAGTCAACGATTGTTCTACATAATGCCGGATGGATAACTAGCCAAGCAGACAGCCTGACGGAAAGATGCAAGTGCATAGCTATGCAATATAGATATAAGGCCAGGCAGACGGATTAATAAATGACTTGAAAGACCCGATACATGCCAACAGATGATGATATGATCTAACTGACCTACTGGAATATTGATCTATGTGTCATTCATTTTGTGAGGCATCAGTCGCTGTGACATAACGATACTAGAGGTAACAACGATACAGGAAAAAAAACCATAAATTTCATCAAACGATAAACGGTTTATTCGATTCCTGCATTAGCGACAATATATTACATGACTGACGGCACACGAGCCAGCGTATTCTCCCATGGCAATCACACGAGTGCTAGATTACGGACTACACTCTGTAGATGACATAAGATGAACTCACACTCTGTGTGTGTGTGAGACGACATGACCGCGCGCGGTACAGTAATTACAGTATTCACTTATAACAGTGATTGTAAGCACTTTAAATCCGTATAAATGTACAACCGATCGGCTCCACTTCCCCCCTTCTCACGCTCTTAAAGCTGGCGTGTTTAGAATCACACTAATTAACTCTCGACCCAACTATTGGATATCCCCTGTGCGCCATATGCTCTCGAGTTGGAAGCCATAACGGGGCTTTAAAAGCCCCGCATTTAATTAATTCACAACCACGATCATAGCACTCGCAGCTCGATATGTAAACCTGTCTGTATGTATCCCTCCGTATAAACCTGATAAACCTCTCACTCGATCGCGCGCCATTTCCCCACCTTCCGATCATCCGCGATTCTAAATAGTAACGCGCACCCGTGTGAGTACGTGCTTCTGTGTCGCACCTCGCGCTTCGCAGGTACTGTTACACGCCGTCGCTGAATGCCAGCCGATGCCGGTCAACATGCGACGAGCGGCAGTTCTGCTGTCACGCGCACGACGCCACAAAAGCACGACGATAGGCACAGCATTCCCCACGTTGTAGTTCTGCTATTTTACACTGCTGTCAATGCTAGACCAAGTGAAGATGGCTGGCGCTTAATTCATAGATCTCCTAGAGGGCGTTGCTCTCGACCACGAGGCTATGCGCTGTGTAGGTGGCACTGCCTTACATGCCTGAAGCGTATAGAGGGCGCTGGTGTCCACCCTGGTGGTGCTCCCTTGCTCGATTTAAGCTGGGGGACACGCAATGTGTAGCTGCATGACAGAGAAAAGCACTCGTGTGCTCAGGCGATTGACAACTGCGCAGAAGAAGCTGAAGTCTTGGAAGGGTTGCACGCTTGTCTGACACTCATTTCCTGCACAGAAAAAAAATATGAATGAAAGGGTTTATTACGAAATCATTGCTTCGAAACGCACAATCCGTAAACAATAAAGTTAAATAGAGTCCGACATTTCAAAGCATTCACGGCTATACTTTATGCCCAGAATGTGTAATAAAATAACGAAATACACCCTACAAATACACCACTGGCACTGGTCAGGTGGGTAGTCTCAAACCCAAGTCACCCACTGGATTTCATTCAAGATTTCTTAGTAAGTCATCACAGAGACGGATGTGCACTAGCGTACATCCCTACTATGGTAAACACTGTCCTAGTGAGAGCATTCCCTCCCTCCGCTGTATGCCTGTGACTACCACGCCCCCTCGCACAAACGACGCACACTCACCCACGTGTTGAGTAGAGCCGTGACGGAGAAGCGATAAGGCATCTTGCTCAGCTGTTTCTCTAGCGCCTGACTGACGCTCTTCAGGAAAGGTGAGGAATCTGAAAACAAGGAAGGAATGAAACGTTCACGTCAACGTCGGCATCCATCTTACGAGGACGTTACAACATTGCCATGCCCCCCACAGTGACCACTAATGAAAGTGTCAATGACACTGTAGCTCACATTGGGTGTGATAGAAGAGGGAGGGGGGATATATAAAGCAAGAGTATATATGGGAGAACTCCCATTATATAGCATATCTCCCATTATATACTCTTGATAATAATATGCATAAGTTTTGATGCGAAAATAAATGTTTCAGATCTGAAAATCTGAAATCTCGACGAGAGATGGCGCTACGCCTAAATGATCGCCATTTTGGTTTTCAAATATTGCGCAAATAAAAACAATAAAATATTCCATTCAAATTACTGTAACGAAGAATCTAAAACACAATATCACACGTATATAGGTATGATTGTAGAGTTGTTGACCAGTTAGACGAAATATAAACGCAGACCTGCCAACCTGTGATTCATGAAAATAGTAAGGCTTTTCTTTTCTTGCAGCAGGCGGCCATTTTGTTTGTATGTTATGCGTGCAATGAATGATGGGACTAACTCTAGATCACGCGAGAACAACGTGAACGCGTGATCCAATATGGCTGCGCCCACAATCGCCAGATATTTCTCGGCTCACAATGTAAACAAGTGCCGCAGAAAGACAGCGCTCACCTGACGGCAAGTGTTCTGATGCTAAACTCAGGGGCAAACGAATGAAGAGCACCCTCCATCACCACGTTCGCGCTCAGAGCATATATATAGGATACTACTAATACAGATCTAAAATCTATGATAGCTAGGCTTTGCTATACCAGTAGTACAGTAATAAAGATACAGCTGTGTAACTTTAATGACCTCGCTATATTAACATGTTATCATGGATATGCGTCGAGCGCGAGCGTAGTGGTGGGGGGAGTGGGGGGAGGGGTGGGTGGAGGTGGCTCTAATGCAAAAGCAGTTGCCGCGAGATGGCGCGTGCAAGTGTCATCAATAATCAAAGATGGCATCACCCTTCAGCGTGATAACCTCACTCCATTGAGTTGCTGAATCCAGGGTTAGTATATTCAGGCAGGTGAGAATTTCGCTCAGCTGTGAGTGTAACACATCTGCATTGCAGGTTGCCAGGCAATAATTATGATTAGAATAGTGCCCATTCACCCCCATGCATGCGTAATGGGCTGCCCCCATGTTTTTGCCTACACACGTGAGCATTCAGGGTTCATTACAGTGTGCTATTACAGGATGCTACTCAGGGGTGCTAATACAGACTGCTTTAGAAATAATATGATATTTAAGGAGCGTAAACCTTGTTCAACAAACATTTGCCTTTGCAATTGAACTGTGGCAGACTG